AAGCTTTAATAGGTTATGGTTTCTGAGATAGGAATCTTGTTTACTCATCTACTTCATTATCGTATTTGAATTAAGTTATGAAGCGAAGAATCCTGGTTTTGAGTCTGAATTGTAGAGTATTTATGCAATGCCCATAAGGTTTCATCAGTTGTAACTTGTATTCATTGCATCCTTGATTATGGTGGCATGTGGAATGCGAACCCCTTATATTGGGCAACCAATTTAGGACGGTTGCAGTGATATTGTGTTTTTTAAATCTTGTAGGATGATTTCATTGTTTGTAACTATGATATGCTACTTATCAAACGGGGATAAAGAGACACTCTGATAACCTAGATATTCTACACATGGAATTGGCAGGAGAATGGTCTGCTCTATGTTCCCAAAGGCCAGGCCCAGAATGCACAAGCACAGATGTTTTCAGATCCAAATATGGCAATGGATATGATGAAGAAGAATCTCTCAATGATTATACCTCAGGTGACTATAGTTACTTTTTTGTTTGGTATCATATGAAGTTTGATTATTTACATTTTCATTTATCTTTTTATTCTCATAATTTTTTTTATCCTTTTCTTCTGTACCAGACTCTTACATTTGCATGGGTAAACTTTTTCTTCTCCGGATTTGTAGCAGGTATGTTCTTCATACTACTAATACTTTTGAATACCTGAGGGTCACTTATTTGGTTGATTGAATTTCCAAATTATCTAGAATATATAAATTCTATACTTTTTAGGTGTTAAATTAAATGGTATGCTAACACTATTTATGATTTTCATATATGGGAACTTTGTACCACTATGTATATCTCTTGTTAACTATATCTTTGCTGTTTCTCTTCCATTTCTTATCTTCTTTTCTGACAATCCAGTTGGTTATTACTGGTAGAAAAATTAACATCTTCAGGTTTATTAACCTGCACATTTAATGCTGATTGATTTTTCTCCCTGTGCAAGTGTCCTTTATTTTTTTCAGCCTCCATTTTGTTTGCATCTGATGGTGTCTTCTCTTCTTATCATAGCAAAAATACCCTTTCCTCTGACTCAAAGGTTCCGGTCGATGTTACAGAATGGTATTGACTTGAGTACTGTAGATGTCAGCTATGTCAGTAGCCGTTCATGGTACTTTCCGAGATCATTATTTATGATATTTTGGTGCATGCGTTAATGTTCTTTGGAGATTTATTTGTAAAGTTGTGCCCTAAGAATTTGGTTGAGTGATTTATGATTATCACTTATAGTTCATGTAACTTGTGTAAGGTACTTCCTAAATCTGTTCGGATTAAGAGGTTTATTCAGTCTCATTCTGGGAGAAGAAAATGGTTAGTTTTTTCATGGAATTTGCTTTCACAGTAAGTAGCATTTTGAAAGTTCCAGTGTTTATATTGTGTCTTATAAGAAAACGATTCTTGGTGCAGCAATGGATGATACACAGAGAATGATGCAAATGTCTGGTTTCGGCATGGACCCAACAAAGGTAAATATTGTTAGTCATTACTAACGGTGTTTTAAACTTGCTGCTCAATTTGCAGGCTGCCACATCTGGATGCTTAAAGTTTTATATTTCATTTTTAATTACTCTCCCTCTTTCTCTTCACATGTACTCATGCACACATTCATATACCCAAGCTTGCATCAGTAGCACGCAAATCAATTTTCATGGTTGAACAAATGTGTTTTCTTATTTTGATTTTTAATTTTTTTTTTTTTGTATTTGACACCATTTTTGTTTATAATCTTCTAAAAAGAACATGGCTGAGGCTGCCTATATTTCATTTTGTTTTTTATTCTTTTACCCGAGAGAGAAACTAAGCTTGAAGGAAGTTTAGCATATTTTCAGTGGTTCTGGTTCAGTCTCAAACTTTGGCCTTCATTTATAGTACATACTCAAGCACTCCTCCCCCCTGGAAGAGAGTTGCCCTTAATGAATCATGCTTGAAGCCCTTTTATTTATTCATTTATATGTTAATTTTTCCATAAAATCTCTTATAAAAGTCCTAATTTCTTAAACCTTTCATTATCTTCTTATTCATAACAATTTATATTTTTTCTATCGTGGGCCTAAGGGTAGGCCCTCTTTTTTCCTTCTACATGCTCTGTAGGAATATTGTGCTTTAGTGTGCCTCACACCTTAAAGAATATTGTACACACTGTAAAGGATAGATCTTGTGAGTCTGTTTATTTAGTTTCATGACCACCTGATGCATGTATACTTTGAAATGAGTAGCGCCTGTGTAGTTAAATCTGATACCTAGCGGCAGCGCTAAATATGGTTATCCAGTCTATGTTCCTGATTGTCTGCATTACGTTTGTGAGGAATTCCTTTTGGTTGAACTTGCAAGTTCAGTGTGATAACTGTTAGCTTGGGTTGAATAGCCATTTCTAGATTTGCTCAATCCTGCACTAGCCCCGTTAGGGAAGATTGTCATACATACCCTTCATTTTGAAGATCAGAGTTGTACCTTTTAGTTATTTGTTGATAGCAGTCTTTTGTATTGGGCCCCCAAGTAGTAGTCCGGTTGACAAGGTCTTCGAATCTCTCGGTCATACTGGCTTAGAGGTCTCAAGTTAAAAGCTTCCGGTGAGTTTGAAAAGTCATCAAGGAATATAATACTTAGTTATGTAGTCTGTAGGACCCATACCATTAAAATGTCGTGATGAAATTTTAAATTCCTTGTGACATGTATGTCCTGAGTTGATCATATATGCAATTAATATCATTTGATGTTGCCCTCCCTTTTGACCATCATGCTGCTTGGTTTTGTGGTTTCTCGTCTCCAGTCAGCTATATGCATCTATATTATGTTTAATCTATTGTTTCCTAGTTTTACGTGGATATAATCTCTGGCAAAATAGTACATGTTCTAAAGAAGCCTAGTTTTATTCAAGTTAAAAGTTAGAATACTTTCCTGGGCCAATAGATAGATGACAACAAGATATGCTAGAACGTAGGACCACCAATTGCATTTTTAGGCAATTGTTTCCTAGTTTGATGTGGATTTAATATTTTAGGAAAAGTAGAATATTCTGGCGGTGCCTGGTTTTTTCAAGTCAAAAGTTAGAATGCTTTCATTGGCCAATAACTAGACTATAATAAGATGTACTAGAACACAGGACCACGAATTTTATTTTTGTCATATGATTATTCACAATTTCAGGTTGGTAGAGTAGTTATTACAGAGCAAACTGACAAAGAATGAACTGCATGATATAAAGTACAGGATCAAGATAACTTTTGGGGCAGGAAGGGAATGAAATGGAGGTTGAAATGATAAATTGTTTTGCTCTCTAAATGGGGTAACCAAACATATAGGTTTCAATCCAGAACTGTAGATGTAGGTGGTCCTCTAACATTATGTTACTTTCAATCCATGTTTTTTTTTACTTTGAATCCCATGTTTGTGATTGACCCTACTTCTGCCTGGTCTTAGGCAGGACAAGCCTTTAGTTGTCCCAACTTTCCTATTGCTCGTTCACCTGGAATTGATATCAGTGGAAAACACTGGAGTTGAAAATTGATTTTTTGTTGATTTCTTTGATGATTTATTTGAAACATCTTGTTGATGTAGTGTTTGCGAAATGCATACTGTAGACCGTGTTATTCGACATTTATATTTGAAGGCTCATTTAGCTCTATGTTACCCAGCCGTGTGTTGCACATATGAGCTAATTTCTCTTACACAATCTAACCCCCTCGATCCTTGCCTCGGTATAAGTGATGCTCCACCTTATACTTTTTGTCACATCAATTGCTCTGCTACCTCAACCAAATATGATTATATCATTGGGATGTGCGACTTGCAACAATTTTCAAGTGATTTTGAACTTTAATCAATTTACTATGGACGTTTTATCTGCATCTGCTAATGCTAATGGAGGTTCCAGGAATTACTTTATTCCTTAAAATCTGGACCTCTTTGATTCCCTCGTTCCCATCTTCTTTATTGGGTCACTCATTTGTACGGCACTGGCTAGTGGTCATTTAGACCGTTTTTCAAAGTAAAACCTAGACCAACATGACTCGATGTTCTTTGTACTCCATCTATATAACAAATCTCTTTGCTAATATAATTGTTTACTTGTTAAGAAATATGATTGGTCAATATCACCTTTATGAACACTTGAATAGACCATTATTCAAAATCCCTACTGCTGATCCTATTGGTATTGCATTTTTCTTGTCAGGGTTTGAGTGCAGAGAAGGACAACTTAGACATAGTACAGCATGAATGGGTCCTGCCTAAGTTTGAGCATCGTGCTGAAGCTGTGTTGAGAAAGTTTGTCAGCTGATTGATTTCTGGCTCACAGGTCTTCCTTCTTCGGGTTCTCTGCTAATGTATTTCTTCATTCTATAGTATATTTTCCATTGTTATTACAACTTAGGACCACTTTTTGGGTTTGTTGTGAAACGTAGAGATCTCTTTTATCCCATGGACAGTGTAACATTAACTTATTTCCAGCCAACTAATAGCAATTGATATCTTTCCAAGTCATGTACAATCAATTCTTATAAAAGGTGGAATGCAATGATGAAGCTGAAATTCTCTAGGAGGGAATATAAGCCTCTCTCACATGCGCACACTCACACACTCACTTTATGAATCAGGGAATCAGGATAGAGCCTGTATACTGTGGAAGAAAACCAAGCCAGTATGACCTATTAGAACACGACCTATGAATACCTTGGAACTAAGAATTTTGTGGTCTTCTAAGAATATTTAGTTCGGTTTATGCCTCGGATTGGATTTGGACTAGAATTTGAGATCTCAACCCAATGCTTTATAGAACCTACAAAATCCAGACGACCATTTCCCCTTCCAAAATGTCAAAAGTGTCTCAGAAATGACTTCCATAAGACATGGTTGGGAGCTTTATTCATCACGAAAGGGAAAAAAAAAAAAAGAGAAAAAGAAGATTCGTTCTGCCAAACACTCTCCATGAGTAGCAGTGGCTGAAACCTTTTAGTAAATGCTGATTGATCATTGATTTCAAGTATTCCTTTCTGGTTCTCCCTGAAGAAAGCAGGCTCTTTCCAGTGGACCAACCATGTTTCTTCATTTATCACCTTTCATTTGTCAGAATTCAAAAGGAGGGGGGGTGTTATAATATACAATGTTTTGGTGCCCCCCAAGATCATCAGCTTCCACAATTTCTTTTATTTTTCTTCTCTAAAGTCATTAAAGGCAACATGATCCCAAAATTTGATATTCCTAAAGGAGTCGATTCTTATTGGAAATGGACCAGAAAATTTGCCCATTCAACTTGGACAAGGCATCATGAAAGCAACTTACCTACTGCTTGAGTTTTGATTATATGGTGCCAGACTGTCATGTGGATGTTATAGTTTATATAGTACATGGTTTGGCCATTATAATACATCACTTATTCTTGTCTTTTAAATTAATTGCATTTGTCCATTATACCAAACATGTTTGCATCATCCCCTATTCTGTGAACTCATGACATTTCATATCACAATGACATTGATTTTATCACTTTTTCTTTGCTTTATTTATTTATTTGATTAAAGAATTAACAAATTTGAGATTGATTTAAAGAATGTAATTGTAGCCTTGTGTGTAGGGGTGTTCCTGTGGTGGGGATGCAGGGAAGCCTTCCCTGTTCCCTCGAAATTTCCCACCAAATTTCGCGGGGATTAGCATGGGGAAGAATTCAGGAGGTACCTTTTGTAGAAAACATACTTTATTTTCTTTGTTAAATAATTTGTGTCCAGCCTTGTTTTTGAGAAAAGATTTGATTGAGTTGTTTGTGAAACTTTGTTAGGAAGATGGACTTCAAACAGAGAAATATTTTGATGTATTATTGAAATAAGTTAATAATGTGATGAATCAATTAAATAATTGATCGATCAACAGGTTTGCAAATTATTTCAATAATTTAAGGATGGTGTATTTTCAATCTGGCAGTAATTCATTTATGACGAGAGTCTTGAATTGCGATAACTTTACAAGTTTTGAGTGGATGGATTGTCATAATTTAAGGGTTAAATTACAAAATTTGCCCCTATAGTTTGGGCATAGTTTTAATTTAGTTTTTATGGATTTAAGAGTTCCAATTTAGTTTCAATTTGGTTGTTATAATTTTATCCATTTCAATCTAGTTCCTATGATTTGATTAAACCTCACAAATAATCCTTAAACTATCTTTTACTTTTGAAATATTCATATATTTTCTAATATTTAAACCTTAATATAATTAATTAATATTTACTTAGATTTAAACCTTAGTATAATTTGCTAGCATAGTTAACCAAACAGAAAATATCGATTTATTGTCATGTTAAATAAGTGTTAGATATGATAACATTTGATCATCTATTTATCTATTTTAGTCCACTTATATGACTTCAATATATACCATATAATGTAGAATTACATGAAATAAATATAATTTTTTTATAAATATACCATATTAATAATAAACTTATTTTACTTTTTTTTTTAAATTCAAATGTGTAAAACATAATATACTACAACTGATATAATATTATAAATGATAATTATACAAAATTTATAACACAATATTCTACTAAATATTTAGTTGATAAGTATCTACTTTACAAATATAATTATAAATATACTTCTAACCATTTTTATATTGAGATTTAATCTTTAAATCTACTATATTCGGAAACACTAAAAACACAGTTTTATGACCTTTTTTTTTGGTTGAATCCATTATTTTCCATTTTTTTAAAGTCATCAACCAAACAGATTTATAAACTTTTTAAACATAACATAAGAAGAACAATAAGATATAAAATATTACTGTACTAAGAATACATTTATATATATAATATGCTGTCACGAACTTGGATGACGTGGCACCGAATAGGGCCTATGCGATCCGTCCATCAGTAATATTATACATCATGATGTAATGGACTGGCAGACTGGTCGGGGCCCACTGTTTTTTATTTTATAAAAGAAAATAAAGGAAAAGGCGATGACGCGTGGCATTCTACTATTGGTCTAACAACGGTTAAATGCCTGTGGGGCCCGTCTCACCGTCCTACTTTCTATCGAACTTTTAGATCGGCCACCGCGGTACATCCTTTCCTCAGAAGGGGGCCCCACAGTGAATGTTCTGCGTCAAATTACTGATTTACCCTTCCCAGATGTTTTCATTTGTTCTCCTGTGATAGACGAATAATTGCAATTGTATGGATTTACTTGACTTTTTGCCGATGATGTTGCTTTTTTTTTTTTTTTTGTAAATTTTAAAATCTAACAATACGATTCTTGAATTTTAATTCTTTTGGATGGTTTGGTTGGAGGTTTCAAAAAGATAGTTTGGGATTTAAAATATTTGGGTTTAAATTGTAACTGTGGTTGGTTGTATACATGTTTCGGATTCAGAGGTCTGAAATTGAAATATCTGAAAATAAATTATATATATGTTTATTTTGTGTGATTGAATAAGAAATATGCATTTTATGTCCTTGTAAACCTAATTAATAACTAATCAAATTTAATTAAAATAAATTATATAAATTTAATAATGTTAATTTATAAATTATTTTATATTAACATTCTAAATTTTAAATTGTTGACCATTTAGCATAATCATCAATGAAACAATTAGTAGTAAAGGTTATTTACGTAAAATTCAATATATACATACTTAGTAAAATGATATATATGTATAAAGCTTTAAAATTAATGAAAATTAATTAATATATTTATTAAGTTAGAATATTAAAATTATTTTAAGCAATGTTTTAATTTAAATTTGACTCATTAGTAAATATATTATACACATATATATAAATTTATTTGTTGATTTTATTTAGCAATCAATCTTAATAATTATCATAAAAGAAATATGTTTAACAAAATTAATATTTTCATTCTATCAATTGCATCAATCTATTACATTTTTTATGAAAAAAATTAAGAATATGTTTTAGTAACTTAATTTATTACAATAGAATAATTAATTTGGATAAAATTTTAATGTTGTTTTATTAATTATAAATTTAATTTAAATATTTTGACTAATTTTAATTAATTTATGTTAATAAAATAAAATAAATAATTATATTTAAAAAAATTATTTAAAAGGACAGAAATAAAAACCTGACACAAAATCGATGGACAAACCTATGAAAATAGAAGGTCAAAGAAAACTGTTGTCCATAGGAATAAAGGATGCGTGGGAATAAACTATTCTCAATAAAAAATTTTCAATATGTTAAACAAACAAGGGGTTTAGTTGCCCATGCCCATTCCAGCTCAGTAAACCCTCCAACCAAACGCCCCTTGGTTCTTATAATGGAACTCTGATATCTGTATTTAAACTTTGGTTCATTTTAGTCCACGTATTTTAAAAATGTTCATTTTGATCACTGTTTTTTTAAATGATCATTTTAGTCTCTTTTTGCAAAACTTTGCACGTGAAAACTCTTTAGTATATATTAATGTTTACATTTTAAGAAATATATTGATGTTAGTGTCGTGTTGAAATTGTGATAGAAAAAAATGAGATTAAGAATAAAATTAAGGGACCAAAATTGTCACATTTTAAGAATACATAGATCAAAATGAATATTTTGAAAGAATACGGACTAAAATGATCTAAAATTAAAAGTATAGGGATCAAAACAAACATTTTAAAAGTACATTAACCAAAATGAACAAAAGCGACCAAACTAGTACTTTAACATATTTTTTTCGATTTTTTAATTTCTCTACCTTGTAGAGAAATATCAATCAACATCAATCGACCTTTTATTGATACCTATTTTTTCATAAAATTGAGACTTCGATATTTCTTTCTACATCGACACTTAAAATCTTGAACTACGAGTACTAATAGAACTATAATAAAAAATTTGTAAAAGAAATTTTTTTTTCATTTATTATCATGGGATCACGGATCGAAGCGAGGACCGTGATCTGACGTGGCACAGTAGAGGGGCGGCAGAGTGGGTCCCATATCACGAGCGTCCGATCTGGCAGACAGATACGTTTGGGCCCGCAAATTTTTTCGCCAGTGGAATGGAAGAGGGTCGGTTTCCCCACTTCACACGAAAATTGGTCAAATTGGGAAAGGGAAAAACAAATGAAAAGAAATAGCCACGTCGGCAGCCATTCCTGTGGGACCCACATATATGGGGCCCACCTTGGCCTAGATCATCGCCACGCCAGGTGCTTTTTCGCGGAGGGTCTCATCTTTTTCGTGGGCATTTGTTTGATTAATGGTACGCTAATAAATCAAAATTGAGTTAATTAGTTAATCCACTTATTTTTTTTATTTATTAAAAGGTCAATTTTCACTTCATATATGATACTCAAGATGGAAAATATTAGAGTTATAAAATTTCGTCATATATTGACCTTTCCATATGAGAATGTACGGTTGAAGGTGTGCGGAAACTCATAGAGTGAACATCTATGAATTCATTTAAAACAAATATGATCGGCTAATATAGCGATCATATAAATATAAAATATTTCATAAAAATATTGGGATTGGTGGAGCCAAATCGACGTCGTAACGAGTCAGGATTGAGTCGGGACGAAGCAGGAATGAAAAGAATAAAAAAGCGGAGCTTCAGGGCGCTGCGGCACTATCGCGATGGGGGATGCTCGCAGACTTTTCCGTCTGTGGCACCATGACACTATAACGATGTTTTATAAATACATTAGTTTCAGTTTTAGGGTTCTTGAGTCGCATTGAGAGCAGTTTTTTGGCAGATTTCAAATATAGGCTCGGTGTATTGGCAACACACAAAGAGAGCCGATCGAGAACATTTTTTTGGGTTAATTGTATCTTGATTCTTTGTGAGTTTTTTCATTCCTGTACTAAAGTATAATGTTAAATACTTAAAAACTAACTAGATAGCTTTTATTGGGACCTCTAGAAGGTGAATATCAAAATGAGATATTATGAGTATACTTGTATCCAATTCTCATTTAGTGGAACCCGCATCTGAACTGAAGACTGGACGTAGTATATAAACTGTTTGGTCAAACCAGTATAAGTTCTTGTGTCATTTATTGCTTTTCTTATATTTCTATTATTTGTGTAGTGTGATTAGAAGAGAAAATTGTTTGGAGTGCCTTAATTTCCCAACAAAAATGATCAAAAACCAAACCGAAGAAACGAAACTAGAGATCTCACACACACATCTAAATCCATCATTGAATCTTTGTGAACGAATTTCTATGAAGAAGATCGATACGATATACCAAATAACGATGATAGGGATTATCATAGGTATCAACAATTTAGAAGGATGGATTTAAAACAATATCGTTATTAAATAAATAAGGACACCTTTCGAGTAAATTGAAAAATAAAAAATTGGATTTTGATGGTAGGGAAGCAAATTAAAGAAAACCTAAAAAAAGGTGTGGGGATACATAAAAGAGAAATGTCAATCATACAAGCCCATGTTATGCTGCTCAAAACACACAGAAACCAACTCAAAAGAAAAGATATGATCCTGATATCACACATCTCCTTCCATTTTCTTTTCCTTCTTTTTTTTTTCTTAACCACAATTTATTGTTTTCTTATATATCATAATTCCAAAGAAAATATATATTTGTTATGAGTTAAAATAGAGAGCGACACGTGGTCCTCTTCGACTAGGACACATAAATCTGGTAGCAACTCAACTATTGAGCTGATGAAGGTACGTAGGTCTGTATCGTGCGAAGTAGTGCTCAGCTTGGTTTTTACCCGAAGCAGAGTTCGTATGGTGAAATATATGTTGACATCTAGTAGAAGGACGATTCTGCTGTTAGGATATGTCTATAAGCAGAAGATTTGCTCGCTGACAGATATGGACGTTGCTCGTTCGAGTAACAGTTCCCAATATTCTCTCCTCTTATAAAAAGTGGAGTCTTATACATTTGTAAAGATAGACAGTCTTGTGCGCACAAAACACCAACTCGTCACTGCACCAGTTCGATTTAAGTCTTAATTTAAGTTTCAGTGTGCATTTAACCAAGCACACCCCACCGATGTTACATTTTGTCTTGCAGATACTAATTCAAGTCGGCTAGTCGTCTATGTCGAGTTCGTACTAGCGTGTCACCTCATCCCAAATCCAGCACTAACATATATATAAATAATAATAACTTTTGGTAGGGTAGAAGTATAAAATATACTTGTTCATCAACAACGAGGACCAATCTTGATCTCATCATTATTAAATATTCGACAATTTAGAAAGAAAGGTAAAAATATAAATTTTTTTCAAAAAAATAATGAATTATCAATTTTTCAACGATAACAAAGATAGAAACAAGTCTTCATCGGTAAAGAGCCAAGTATTTTGCACTAAGAATTTGAATCAATTAATAATTGATAAAGGGAAAACATTTACAACTGGACAAAACTGATGTCCTTATACCAGTGGCACTGAATTGAGTTGTTCTATTGCATAAGATTCTTCTCTCTCTAGTTCTATTGGTTTGCCCATTCACTCTACTCTATAAATAGTTCTCACATTCATTTGTTTCCTCATCTCACTCACAAGCAGCCCTCTCTCTCTCAATTCTCTCCCTATTCTTTATTTTCCCCATTCATTATTTCTTCTTCTTCTCCAATGGCCAGTGTTGAGGTAACCCATTCTCTCTCCTCTCTCTCTTCAGAGATATCTAAGAGAAGCTTGATCACTCCCTTTTTTGATCAACCAGACATTTCAATTTGTTCTCATTTAACTCTTAATTTACTCAACTTTAGCCACCAATTCTCAAGTATGGCGCATTTATATGCTCGTAGATCTAGTTGATCTAACGAGATCGATGAACTTTTGTAATTAGTGGCGGATTCATAAATTTTTATTCGAACACCGTTTACAACTTTATTTTTTGTTACCTATGATCTTCGATTTTAAAAAATTTAATGGGTAAGCTAGAAAAAAGACTAAAATATTTAACTCTTTGATCTGGGGTAATTTGTTCCTCTTTTTCCTTTCTTCGCTCCGCTCCTGTTATATGTTCGTCATGGCACATGCAGTGAAAGGATCTTCTGTTTTTTTTCTCTTGGTGTATTTTCGCTTGTTCTTAAATATTACATGAATTGGGTTTTGCAGGTTGAATCATCGGTTGCGAACTTGCCGGAGAACGTGGAGGCGCCGGAGGCGAAGGTCGAAGAAAAATCTCCCGAAGTCCAGCCAGCGAGCGAAGAATCTCCGGTGGCTGAGCCAGCTGACGTAGAAGAACCAAAGCCTGAAGCCACGGAGGCAGATCAGGTAAATAAGGGCGGAGCGAAGAAGGAAGGAGATTCCTTATCCTCTTAATTTGTGACAAATTTTAAAACAACAACCTCATTATATCTATGAAAAGTTAAAAAGGTAAAATTTTGTCTGCAGGCCGTACAATCGGCTAAAGCTCCGGAGGAGGCCGTGGAAGCGGCAGAGGAGCCGAGAGTTGAGGAAGAAGAAAAGAAGGAAGAAGCAGCGGAAGCTGAATCAGTGGACAAAGAAGCCGTGCCTGCAGCAGAAGAGCCAAAGGCCGAGGAGTCTCAAACCGCCGAGCCCGCTGCCGAACCGGCCGCAGCCGCAGTGGAGGATGAGAAACCAGTTGAAAAAGAGAAAGCAGCTGAGGTAGCAGAAGAGAAGAGCCAAGAATAGAGAGATGGAAGCCATGTGAAGGGAAGAACTGAAGAAGGGGAGAGAGTATTTAAGTAGTTATTAATTTATGTGATGTTTTTTCTTTCTTTGATTTTCTATTGGTTTATTGAGGTTTTTGAGTGGGGAATTTATATATCTGAATTATTAAGAAATTAAGTTGAAGGATGTGTTATGGAGTTGAAGGATTTGGCTGCTATATGGGTTTGAAGATAATATATTATCTCTCAACTTCTAAGAGTTATTAAATTTGATAATTAAGTATTTGGTGTGAGATGATAAGTATTATTATTTTTCCCCTGCATTTTCCTTTAATTGGGATTATATATTTAATTATTTTCCTCCTTTCTAGGTTTTATAATCTAAAATATCATAAGATTAAAACATTGTCTTATAAAACAAATTGAAAAAAATTAGGAGTTGATCATTTGAATAATACTCTTGAAACTTTCTATGGAATTTTTTAGAATTTTTAGTTATTTTCTCAAAAGTTGAAGTAACGGGAGGTATAATTAATTGGACATTGAAAATTTAAAATTCATCCTTAAAATTTTTTGGAACAAGCTTCTTAGATTGGTCTGCTTCACAATATGTGTTCTCTCTCCTCTTTCTTTTAACGATACATAACTCTTTAATTTATTATCTCTCTTACCTAAAGTTTAGTGTTGAAATTGAATTGATTTGAGATTTTAGTGTTTGTGAATTAGGGATTTATATGCCAAAAGAATTTCAATTACAATGTACTAGGTTTTTTTATATCATCTAGTCACACTCTTAGCTTTAAAGATATAATCAATGTTTACTCAAAAAAAAAATATATATAATCAATGAGAAGTTGGGAATGAAATACTCTATTATCTATTAAAGTCATTGATTATCTTGTAGATTTTACCTCTATCAGGATGATTATAACTAGTGGTACTATAATGATAATAATAATAATATTTTTTTTTAAATTTAACAATTGCAGAGGTGAGGAACGAATCATTGACCTTTAAAATGATAAGAGAAAATATTGGTCGTTTGAATTGATGTAATGATTGAGATTTATCAAGATGGGAAATATTAGCCATCTTAACCTTTTATTAGAATGTAGAAAAATTAATACAATTAGCTATACAAACTTGGTTTTTTCATTTGATGATGTTATTTTATTATACTAGAAGGCAAGCTTCATAGCAAATATAAAAGATAGTTTTTGATCTTTAATCCTTTTAAATTCTCAATTTTATTTTTAACATGTACATAAAGTTTTTAAGCCATTCCGTAAAAAATCTGTTAACAAAAAAGCCTCCTCTCTCTTTATGGTGTAAAAAATATATGTTACGTCAGAAAATTGTTAAAACTCTTGTCCAAATTTCGTATTTCAAAAAGATTTTCAATATTACGGTTGTATGAAAATTTTTTAAATACAGTTCATTCATTTTTCATCATTAGAACAGTATTTATAATCGTAGGATAAAATCTAAAAATAAAATAATATATCACTTAATCATGTGTTATCCGTAAATTCTAACGAGCAGAAACTGTCAATTAATTTAGTGGGCTGGAGTTTGGGCCTTAGTCATGTATCTGGACTGATATCCACCAATTTGGTCCGAAAGATCCATTCTTGGTGATAGCCCAAGTGGCTATTTGCTAAAGTTTCTTTTCCTTGAAAAAAGAGAAAATAAAATATTTTTTTGTGATTTTAGTCCAATAATGGAATACTTAAAAATTAAATTACCTTTTTTTCTTCTGGCAAATGTTAGGAATATTAAGAAGAAAAAGAAAAGGATGGTCTCGGGACAGAGGCACACGACCAACAAAGAGATCTACAAAAAAATATTGTTGGAACATAACTAAAAAAGACAACAACATGACTAAAATAGACTATTCATATGTCAATAAAAAATTAAAATTTACCATAATCGAACTTTTGAATTGTGGTTCAACGTGGTATGAGAGCAAAAAGGTTGTTAAATTAGGGCATGAAACCATCGTCAATTTAGGGTATGGGGCCATCGTTGTTTAGTATAGAGGTAAAACTCCTTTATCACTTCATCTCTTTTTTTACTCATTCGTGCAGATCCACTAAATCCATTCTACCGAACTCGATTGCAATTAGCCTCACGAGCAGGTTTATAATTAATGTCGTCTTACCTCTGTGTTGTGGGAGGAAGCAAAATCGAAACCGAACTAATAAAAAATTAAACCGAAGTTAAACCGTTTGGTTTGGTTGGTTCTCTCCGTTTAACCAAACCCAATCCTTGGGGAAAATTTTACCTTACGCAGTGAATAAGATAAAAGATGAGCCAAAATCGAACAGTCGAACTTCTGAAGACCCGAGAAAACCCTAGTTTGGACAGCCATGGAGGATGTACCCATGGAGCTTGTCGTCGATATAATCTGCCGATTACCGGCGAAGTCTATCTTGCGCTTCAGGCGGGTGTCAAAGACATGGAAGTGCCTCATTGATTGCTCCGATTTCGTCAATCTTCAGCTGAAGAAATCAATCGAGACCAGAACTCATCTCCGCCTCATCATCCGAAGAAATTCCGTTCTCTTCTCCGTCGATCTCGACCCCTTCGACTGTGCCGTGGAGCTTGTTCACCCTCTCATGTGCTACGGCAGTCGGATTAGGATCTGGGGTTCTTGTAACGGCATATTGTGCATCTGTAACGTAGCTGATGACATCGCTCTCTGGAATCCATCCACCCGGAAGTACCGTATATTGCCGTCTCTTCCCCCGGAGCGGCGCTCTGATGATGTTTTTCGTTTCTCTGTCGACGCTTACGGATTCGGGTACGATTCTGTTCACGATGACTTTAAACTCTTGAAAATTTCGCAGTTTATTAGATTGAACCCTATGGATATCGAATCGGTTGTCAAGGTTTTTAGCTTGAGAAAGTTTTGTTGGATTCCAATTCAAAGTATGACTTACTCTCTGCGCTATAGCTCGAAAATGGGGGTTTTTGTCAACGGTGCTTTACATTGGGTTGTGTCTCATCAGAATCTGGGCATGGGGGTGGCTGATTTAGTGGTGGCTTTCGTTCTCGCAACTGATAAATTCAAAGAGATTCCATTGCCAGAGTTTACTGATACCAAATGTGAAATTCATGTGCATGTTTTAGGTGGGTATCTCTGTTTGCTTGCAAATTATGAAAGAGCTCGTTTAGAGGTTTGGGTGATGAAGGAGTATGGAGTTCAGGAGTCATGGACGAAACTGCTCACTGTTGGTTCGCAAGTTGATTTCGATGGTTCCATTAAGTCTGTCAAACTGTTGTCTTATTCAAAGACTGGCCGTGAAGTTCTTTTACTTCAGAACAGGAAAAGACTCATCTGGTATGACCTACAAAATCAAAAAGTTCGTGATGCTGAGATTGGTGGCCTGCCTCATAGCTTTGAAGCAGAAACATTAGTGGAAAGCCTTATTCCAATTGATGCTTATAGAGAAAAGCCTGAAAACAACCTTGAAGATAAGAGGTTATTAATATATCCTTTGTCTGAAAGCATTTCTGTTCTTGTTTCTTCTCTCCCTGTCCTTTCCAAATTTTGTTAACATGAGATAATTACTTCAATTTGTCGCTTGATTTTCTTTATTCATATACAAATATTTACTGTCTACACAGGATCCCTATCTGTAGATATTGTGGCCAGTTCATTTAGTTACACTTGATAAATTTTATGGAACTATGAGTTTAATTTGTTTCTTTCAGGGAGGATTTCTTGTCAGAAGGGTTCAAACTGGTGTTATAGGCAAAAGGAGAAAGAGCTACTGGAAGAGTGGAAATATACATATACGTATATATAGAGTAGCAGCAGCTAATATAGAGTTTATAACGTACTTAGCCTCGAGAAGTTTACTTCTTAAGAACAGAGAACAATAAGGGATTTTTTCACCAAACAGGTCCTTAATTTCTATCCCAAACTTCACGTTTTATGATATCCTTCATGGCTACAACTGAAGTTGATGATGAGATTATTTTGTTGGGATGGTTACAACAATATATGAGAGTCACTTTTTCTGGCCTACTATCCTCATTTGTGACAACTAGAATGCTATTCAAATAGCACATCATGAGCGAACAAAACATATCGAAATAGCCTCACTCAGGGCACTTTTTTCGCCATCACTTTCTATAGGGTTCAATGCCATACATTTTCTCAAAGCTTCAGATCACAGATCTTCTTATGAAGTCCCACACCACCGTAGGATTCCGATACTTAGTATACAAACCCAGATCTTATCCTTTGAGGCATCTTGAGTTTAGGGGAATTCTGTGCTTTATTCTAATACGCACGTGACCATCATTTTGAAGATAGAAAAGATAGAATACTGGCACATTACAACATCTCAATGCACAAGGCAACCTGTATTTGTCATGGGTTGTACCATGATTGTTAAATATATGGTTGAGAGAGCTCCTTTCTTTCTCTCTCTCTCTCTTTTTTTTTTTAATAAATTTGCTGAGAAGGATATTTTCGATACTATCACATCTTGTATAGGTGGTTAGATTGGATCAAATAGTTGAATTTTATAATGCTGTGGAATTGATAGTTTTGTGGTATGCTTGAAACTTGAAAGTACTATTTCCTATTTGTAAATAGATAAAATGTATCACTCAGGTTGCTGGGTTCTTGGGAAAAGTTGAGTTTCATAAGATGACATTCATATTATTTTTGTTCTTAATTATGGTCTGTAGTTGATGGGAAATGTTATATTAATGATGTGTGTTTTGTTCTCTTCAAAAAAGAAAAATGATGTAATCATCATGGGTAGCCTATTGGTTCAAAGAGGTTAGGGTTAATTGAGAGAGAATGTGTTCAAATTCCATGACTGCCACCTACCATAGGAATTAGTAATTCCTATGTGTTTTTCGACACCAAATATTGTAGGGTCAGGTGTTTGCATCGTGAGATTAGTCGAGTTGTGCGTAAGTTGATTTGGACACTCACGAATATAAAAAAAAAATTATGTGTTTTGTTCTCTTCAAAAAATGATGCGTTTTGATTCTAAAGTGTATGGCTCAACTGGTTATGACATATTTTCGATTAAGAAAAAGTGAGTTTGAATTCTCATTAAACATGTTTTATTACAAAAATTTAGGTGTGCTTTTGAATTATATGTGCTTTTTTCTTATTGTGATTACATGAGAAGCTTATAAGAATAGCTTTTATAAGTTTATGTAGCTTGTAAGATTAACTAGCTTATGATGCAAGATATGTGAATTTCAATTAACCTATCAACATAAGTTTGACTTGTTTACAAGTAACGAAAACGTCCCCGATGAATTTAGAACTTCTTGTGAATATGTCTGAGATAGTTTTAGATAGAAATTGATTTTATCAGGAGTATGTGAATTGTAACTACTTCACTTCAGCAAAAATTGTATAATAAAAAATTCATTTGTTGCTTGAATCTAATATTTCACCAGTGATCTTGAGTTAAATATATATATGTATATATGTTTTTACCAACCTAAACATGCTTCAACGGGAGGTTAAGGTATTTTTTTTTAGTACATGTGGGGTGGAGGGTTGATTTCACAATTTTTTTTATTGGAGATATATGTCAATTACTGTTGAGTTATGTTCACTTCAGCTGTGGTTAAAGTCGTTTTTACAGTGGTTAAGGTATTTATCTTTTCTAATCCCTATTTCTATGTGTTGTAAAAAAAAATGATAAGACAAGTGAGACAAAATGCATAGAGAGAGCAGCCTTGCAAAATAAAGACACAAATGAGAGAAAATATGTATAAAAAAATTGGTGAGATAAATTATGTTTTAGCTTGAAGAAAGTGTGAGTGAAGGATAAAAAAGAGCAGAGATCTAGCAAGTGCAAAATTAAAAGTTTAGCAAACTATTAGTTATAAGATCGAAAGTTCATGGCTTGTTACACACAAGATTGAAAATGTAAGAATCTATTAGAAGCGTATACTTATAGTTTAATCTATTACACATGGTCAGAATTTGAAGATAAAAAAGATGGAATACTGGCCCATGGTAATATCTCGATGCATAAGGGAAATTGTACTCATTACCGGTTATAATTAGTTACCTAGTGATCATTAACTACATTCTTGAACTAAAAAGAACTATAAACCTTCGGTAACCCTTTATTTAACTCATTTATGAATTAGTTGTAATAGCTTGATTTTTATTAACGAAAGTAATAGTGTTGGCCTTGGATCACAAATACAACACAAAAGGAAAGAAACTTAAAATTAAAAAAACTGAAGTCGAAATTGGCAAGGAATAAGTCTTTGTAATTTTTGTCCCACATCGCTAAAAGCATCAGCTGAAGATCTGTTTTTATTGGGCTTTTGGATTGTGAAAAAAGTGCTGAGTCTGGTTGCGCGGGCTTGTGACCCAAGTGGGGGCAATAAAGTAGATGAAATATGTTTGTTGTGGGAGTGGATGGGGTGTTTGTTGGATGAGAAGGATTTGTGGAGCCTTTGCTTTGGTGGGATCGAGCTTAGGGCCGAGTCTCTTTGCTCTTTAATGTCTGTCTTATCAGAGCAGCGTCGCCTCCGCCATCTTGATGTTTATAATTACCTTGATGATTGGCTTCCATTCTCCTCACCCCTCTCCCCACCCGCTCCCTCAACTCCTTACCCTCACAACTACTTTTTATCTCTTTTCCAAATCCCGACACCATGTTGGTGTCGTAGCTACGTGCCCCATCCTATGAACGAACCTCGACATCTTGTTCGTAGCTACGTGCTCTAATCTTCTGAGCTATAGCTCCTATCCTGGTACCTTAAGGTGTGAAGTGAGAGAGAAAAGTAGAAGAGGAGAAACCTCGACATCGTGTTCGTAGCCACACATTCTAATCCTCTTACCTATAGGTTCTGTCCTATTTTTACCAAATTTGCTTTTTGAGGTACCTTAAAAGTGTGAAGTGTGAGAGAAAAGTAAAAGAGAAGAGTTTCATAATCACGCATCACTTACAAAAGTATTAATACAATAGTGGAATTTCTTGAAGAATCAACTCACCTAATTTTGAAGAATCCTGTATGCTCTAATGTTTAATATTTATATTTTAATTTCTTGCAAATATATATATATATCCAATATTTAACCATTACAATCCATTTAAGAACTTATCCCATCGTATGAGATTGATTTTGAAGGAGGTTCAGATATTTTTTTCGTGGATAATTTAATAACTCTTTTTTCCTAACTTAAGATTTTTTTTCTTTCATTCTTAGGATTCTCATCAAAATAGGTTTAAAAAAGTAGTAAGATTCTCTTATAAAATAGATTGGGAAATAAAATCAGTTAAATGAAATAGAATTCCTATTATGATTAGAAATTATAGGGTAGTATAAATACATTAATATATTTGTATCAAAATATTCAATTCAATGAAATCTTATTTATTATTATCTATTTTTCTCTCCTCACTTAAAATTATTATGGTATAGCGCAATCAGGTTAGATGAGATAGTAATCAAAGCATGGAAGACAATATGGAGAATGATGAAGAAATAATAAATTTGTTTGCAGTATTCTTTTGAAGGGGATTGGATTTGATTGATGGATTTGTGTGGTGAATTTTATTTGAATTCGCTTCTTGCCATTGATTGACATTGGCATTGATATTGGCATTGGCATTGGTATTGATATTGGCATTGACATTGACATTGACATTTTTTGTTGTTGCTATTGGCATTGACATGAGCATTGACATTGGCGTTGTTCATTGGGATATTATAGTTTCTATAGCAATTTGCAGCTTCTACAACATTGGTTTTGGTTTTGAGTTTGGTTTGGTTTAGTTTTAATTTTGGCATTGGCATTGGATTTGGTTTTCTATTTTGACTTAAACATTAGTTTTCACTTATTTAGCCAATTGTGAGTTTGAGAGAGGATATTAAATAATATTATTAGATAATGTTATTTGAATTAGATTTTCTATTAGGATTAGAAATTACAAAAGTAGTATACTTACGTTATTAAGTTTATATCAAAGTATTAAATTCAATTAATTTTTTTTTATTCCTTTGTTTTCTCTCCTCACCTAGAAGTTATTAATGGCACGTAATGGATGTATTTTGAAGTTGTATTTTTTGGTATACTTTTATCACTAATTTATGACATAAGACTTCTTGCCTACAGTTAGGAGAATTAATCATGAATTTTTGTCGTCACTTTTCTTTTTATTACGATATGCTGAGGAGGGGATTCGAACTCACAACCTCATAGTTGGACGGACGTATATGTCAATTACCGTTAAACTATACTCGTTTTGACAATTTTTATCGTCACTTTGCTCTCCAATCTCCATCCATGTGCATAATTATAAAAAAGAGATCAAGATTAGAATAAATTATGTTAAGTTATCAATTCAAGTCTATGAATTTTGATAGTTTTGTGTGTCCGACTTTAACAATTATTTATTTATTTATTTTCATTTCTAAACTTTAAATTTTGATTTTAATAAATTTCTAGTTAATTAAATCTTAACCTATTATGTTTAGTGTAAAAAAAAAGAGCAAATTTTAGTGGGTAGTGTTTATTCATTTCAGTAGGTACGTATTTAAATTTTCGATTTTGATTATGATAAATCTTTGTCGTCGTAATAACATTATTGCTTAGATACTGATCTACACATGGTGGTTGAATTAAAAGAGATAATTTGACATGATATAATACAAGAGAGCAAATCAGATAAATAAAATATAAATTCGAATAAATTAAAATATTTGACAAAAAGCTAGCTAGAGTACTATTTTAAATTGATTTTTTGTCCCACTCGTCCCTATTTATTCACAAAATCCCTTCATACCACTCATTTTCATGTCCTAAATTATTATTTTTTTGTGTATCAACATCTTGGGAGATATATTCATTCCACGTCACCACGAGAAACTACAGCCCTCCACGTGTATGTCCAAGAAGATTCCTAATGTACACATCGTCGTGGGCCCACGTGGTTTATAGGCAGATTCTTATGCTGGTGGGGCCCACTGGTTGGTTCTATCATTATCGGACACCTGTGGCTAGTCGTGTCCACTCGAATCCTTAACTATTTAATTATTATTATTTTTATTTTTTGATAATTGAATCCTTAATTATTTGATTAATCCAATGGTAGGTTTCATTATATTTATGGATTCACCGAACATTCAGCATAAGGTTTAAGTTTGGCCGTCTCCTTTATTCAGTCACCTCTATTATTTTATCAATTTGTGGCCGATCTAGATTTTTATGTCAAATTGAACCTAAATTTATATAAATATAAGAAGACGAGATTAATTTTATCACTAAATTTGAATAATATGTATCCATTAGAGTTTTTTTTTTAAGTTCTAAGTTTTGGTGGGGTTATTTAATAGTCGATTTAAAATAAACTTTATTTTTATTAAATTTGTGAGTATTTTATATTAATTTTGTGTTTCAATTAAGGTATGAATTAGTAGAAATTAATAGTTAGTACAAATTGTAATATGTATATAAATTTAAGGTTTAATTTAATGAAATTGAAAATTTAGGATGAAAATTGAAATTCAATTTAATGAAATTGAAAGTTTCGGATGGAATTGATATAAATTGTGAAAGCTAGAGGTAAAAATAGATTTTTCCCATAAATATAACTTTAAATGTATTTATTATAAACATTCAGATTAAGTCATATTGAAAAATAAACTATAATAAA